GCCATTGTCGGTGAACTATTTCGTTTGAGCGCCTTTAATTTCCCCCTTCCTGTTTTTTAATTACCTAGGCCGATGGAAGCCTGAACCAATTCAAATCAATAGCACATAGTTCGAAGCAATTTATAGTTTATTGCTTGATATGCAGCGTATGTGAGCCGCTTCTGCTCGCCTATGGGTTTTCTGCGGTGATAGCACCCGGGCTTTGAACTTGTAGGATTATCTCATGACGTCTATTGAGACATGTGGAAGGAGTAGAAAATACCGGGTTAGGGATAAGCGGTTGGCACACAGTGGCTTGTACATTACCCACAGGAGGTGAAGCGACACAGGTGATATAAGTCACGTGACTTGCTTTCGGCAAGCAAGCATCAAGTTGGGTATACTTGAAGCCCCCACCAATCAGCACGCTGCCATATGCTGCCGGCGCTAAGCGGAGCGCTCCAGGCTTCAAGGTTCTTCAGGTTCGGGTTCTTAACTCCCTACCGGGGCTTTAAGACTAGCTACCAAGGCTGGATTACCGTACAGACTATGAGTATATAGATCATCTGTTCGCCCACCCGCTACAGCTGTGCTAAGCGGGGCCAAGTGATGTATATGTATACCTTTCGGCTATGTACATGAAACCCTCCCGGTGCCACTCCGGCGACAATTGGCACTGGTTCGAGTGTATCGGCAATTTGAGGTCTCAGAGGTGAGGTGCTTGGAACATGTTCTCAATTCTGTTGGTGGTTATAGGAACTAACGTATCAACATGGGAAGCAACTTGGTTACGCGTTGCATCACGTGGCCGGATTACTCAGCTATGCCGACAGAGTGCTTGAGGATTATTTGGAGATAGGCGCGGCTTCCTGCCTGCTTAGCTTTGCTTCTTGATTGTATTGGTGGGTGTGGGAGTCAGTAGGTGCTGCGAGCACGGCCTGGTACAGTACAGCCCAATCCGAGCGGGTGGTGGTAGGATGCCAGTTTGGGGGGGGGTCACTTTGAAAAAGTTAACTAAGTAGGCGAGTTCCTGCAGAGTATTCTGTAATTGAAGTTATACGGGATGGCACCAAGAGGGAGTAAGTAATGTACTCTGCGTAGTATGTTCCTCCGTCTGAGAAGACATCCGCTTCTTGCTGTTGCTCGTCTATCTCCCAGATCGTTGGGGAAGGGGATATGAAGAGGGTTGAGGCTTCCATACAAGGCACGTCAGGGGATTTGTAGCTTTACCTGAGGATGAGTGAGGGACCGGGATGGAAAGTTGTATAGTTTTGATTACACTTCTTCATTCAATTATTTTTTCTCCAGAAACATTGAACCGATAACCAGTCACATTAGGTAAGAAAGTCAAATAGAGGAAGCCTTGAAAGGGGGAATAAAACCAAGAAAAGAAAAGTATATACATATTCACAGTAAAAGAGGGGGATATCAAAGTGGTAGAGACCTGAGAAAAAGAAAAGGAAAAGGGATATAGTCCAAGAAAAAAGGAAATAAATTAGGTGGAGTGGTGGTTTCACCCTGTCCGAGAAGTAACTGGTCCAGTCACCATTTACGCCTTCAGTTCTACCGACTCCTCGTTGCCGGCGGGCGTGATGCTGCGCTTGGAGGAACTCTCGGCGTGCTCGGGGCTGGTGCCGGCGATGACGTCGCGGGTGATCTCGACATAGTCGTACTGTTTGCTAAGGGTTAGTTTTTCTGCTCAATATGATGGAAGGGCTCAGAAATTGGGAAGACATACGGCAAATTCACCGATCTCGGCATCATCAGTACCCAGGATCTCATCTTCCTCGGAGATGCGCAGGTGGAGACCAGGGATCAGGTTGATTAGGAAAAGAATGATGCAGCTGCCGAAGAAGGAGTAGGCCATGCCGGAGACAGAGTCGGCGAGCTGGTAGCCGAGCTGGACGTAGTTGTGGTTGATCCATCCACCGTCGATGACGGTGGAGCCATCGAGATGAGCAATGTAGTCACTAGCATGATGTTAGTGGGGTGCTGGCAGCGGAGACATAGAAAGAGACATACGCCGCAAAGATTCCGGTCAAAAGGTTGCCAACAAGGCCACCAATACCGTGGACAGCGAAGATGTCCAGGCTGTCATCAATTTGGATCACATATTTCAGCTTGGTGGCGTAGTTACAGGCAACAGCACCGACCACGCCGAAAATGAAGGCCGCCCAAGGTGTGACGAAGCCGGAGCCTGGAGTGATGGCAACCAGACCGGCAATGGCACCGGAGCAGAATCCAACCATAGACCATTTCCTCTCAAGTCGGTAGTCCAGGAGACACCAGGTGACACCGCCCACCGATGCAGCCAGATTGGTGACAACGGCCGCCATCACGGCGCGCAGGTTGGCAGCCAGAGCGGAGCCTGCATTGAAACCGAACCATCCAACCCAGAGGAAGACTGTGCCGATGACAACATGAGTGACATTGTGAGGGCGGTAGTTGAGCTCGTGCGTTCCATGGCCACGGCGCTTTCCGAGCATGAGAGAGTAGGCAAGAGCGGCAGAGCCGGAGGCAATGTGGACAGGAGTACCACCGGCGAAGTCGAGACCTCCTAGCTTGAACACCCAACCGGACGCGTTCCATGTCCAGCAGGCGAGGGGATCGTAGATGATGGTGGTCCAGACAAAGCTGAAGACCATGCAAGGAAGCATGCGACCGCGCTCAGCAACGGCACCGACTGCAAGGGCCACCCTGGCGTCATACTGTCAGATATGCAGCCTTATAATGGATTACAGCAAAGGTATACTCACGTAATAGCTGCGAACATTCCCTGGAATACGGCGAACAGAAGATCCGGAACTTTAGTGCTGCCCACGGAAGGAGCTCCCAGCACACCCTTCATACCGAAGTTCTGCAAGTCTCCAATATAACTTCCAGCAGTGTGGGAGAAGGCTAGCGAATACCCCCAGAAGAACCATTGGAAAGATACCACCCCGACCGACATTATCGAGAGCCAGATCAGCGACAGAGCTGACTTGCGTCGAGCAAGACCGGAATAGAAGAAGCTGGAAGGGTTAGCTCTGGAGTTATCATATCGAACACTAGGAATGGTCCCATACCCGACACCCGGAATCATCAATAGCACCAGGGCAGTGGAGGTAATCACCCAAGCAATGTCCCCGGACTGATAACAATTAGCAAAGGCTAAGTATCAAGCGCCTAAGGAGCTTACACTGTAATAAATGTTGAGGTCTTCCGTCAGGGAATCACCACCCGTTGCACCCGTGCCATTGTAGGCAACGGGATACGCCGACATCGTGAATCTCACAAGATGCACGGAACTTGTTACAGGATCGAAGAGAAAGAACTGTGGGTTGCAGCCTGTCTACCACAGCTTGGCAAGAGGTTAAAGTATTATCGAACGCACAGGCGGTGCGCAAGCGTAGGGGGTCTCGAAAGCAATGGAAGGAACAGGCACGTATTAGACCGACAGCAAGGAAAGCAAGTAGGGGAAAGTCCGGGCACTGATGGATGAATAATTGAATCTGAGCTGTTACCGATTTAGGATGACTCGGTTGCTGATCAATAATAGAAAGAAAAGTATAGATTTCAAATATAATTAAGAAAAAAAAGAGAGGTCAAATCAGGGGGAGATGCAGGAGTGATAAATAGTGGTGATGATAGTCGGCGGCCGGAGATATTACCAGTCAGATGAAAAGCGCCATCGTCTCACTTGCTTCGAACCCTGGAAGGGCTCCACATCATCGGAGCCATTCTGGGGGATGTCCTCTTTCTTGGCGACAGGATTAGTTTGGTCTTAATACGATGCGATATCTACTGATAGATATCGGAGGACTGGCCATGGCGGCGGATCCAGACGGGTGGAGTTGCTGGAGGAGAGCCATCACGGACCAATGTTATTTCTCACATTGATTGACTTGGCCGTATTCCTCTGACCTGCAGCTGGCTGGGATGACTCTTTTTCATTTTCCGATCTGTCGAGAACGTGGATGCGCATGTTGGGAGTAGAGTTCCACGGCATTGGCTTGTTCATCGTGCAGGGACGCCTAATCCATCAGCCATGGCTGATGGCTGCATGTCGGTTACATGTCGGAAGCGGCAAACAGGCCGGTAGACTCGGAGTGATAGCAGTAGGTATGCTTCGTGATGCGAAACTCAAACGCGGAGGGAGATTAGGGATTTCATTGACAGAAGAGGGTCAATAATGCAAATGCGCGGGAGTATGGATAAGGAGAGAAGACTATTCAGCCCGGGAGAAATCCTTCGGTTCAGGCAGCATCGGGACTGGCTGGAGATAGTCATTCAAGTGTCTTATCAGTGGTAAATTAAGAGTTAGTCAGGTAGACAATTGCATGCACAGGTGGTAAGGGGTCAAAGAGAGTTCCTTATCTCCCGCCAGATACGTATTGTATGTTGGTATGCCATTGAACTGACAGGGCTGATTCTTGGATCCTGGCGGACTTGCCATCCTTCGTGAAGCTCCATCGGGAGGCGCAGTAATGACCACGAGGTTTTTCCAAACCTTGCAGATCTGCCCCACTGGCGTTCTGAACTGTAGCTGTACAGTGAGTACGGAGCACAATTGAATGAGTTGGTGCAATGGGATGGGAGTCTGGTGGTTGTTCCTAAACCTTCCGAGAAGGAAGATGAAACTCCTTATCTTCCTCCGTTGTGGCAACCAATCACCATCGGCTCGGGTGGAAGTCTTATCTACCACACAATCTACAAGGCTGTTGATTACGAACGAACCAAACTACCTCCTATTGAACTTATTATCACTCGACCTGCTCGTCCTTGCCTTGACTCAGTCACCATTGACGACGCCAAGAAACCAGTCACATTAGTTCGCTATATCTGACACCGCAAATATGCTGCCAGGTGGTACTGCTTATGCAGCTCCCGAGTTCCATCTACAAGTATAGCTAACTACAGCATCAATGTTCCCCATGTGGTCCGTTCAGCTGCGAAAGCTTGATACGCCACTCCGTACGAGTAGAAATACATACTCAAGTCTACCAGACAGGGAGCGCTCCAATGCTGTGGTAACTCGACGATCACACGGTGCCAGACCCGATCGCTTCGGCCGCTTCCAGCGCAAACGCAAACCGAGCCTTGAGATCCTCCACAATCTCGACCCCGACACTAACGCGCAGCAAATCGGCCGGTACGCCGAACCCCGCGGCCCACTCTAACTCCCGATAGTACGCGAGAAGAACGTAAGGCGACGTCAAGGTGAACTTCGTGCCGAGACTCGGCCCTTTGGCCGTCTCGATGCGATCAAAGGATGCCACCGTATGTTCTTCGGGTGAAACGTGAACGACAGCAAACTTCCATACCCGCCCGTGGGGGTCCGACACCCATCATAGAAACATTTCGTCGGAATATACTTGGGGTGACAGACGTCCTTGACTAGCGGATGGGCTTGCAAAACTTGGCAGATGGCCTCAGCATTGTCGTTTATTATCCTGATGCGCACCACGAAGTCCCGGCTATTGCGCTCCATGAACAAAACGTCCTCGACCCAATAAATGTTATCCTCAAAATCCGCTTCGAACGCCCGCTTCGAACGCCCACTTCAGTGGCAAATAATACCGGCTTTCGGAATTTAGGATAGCGCTGCCACCCATCACGTTACAGTCGCCTGAGAACATCTTCGTGAGACTGTTGACCACCACGTCGGCCCGGGCAAGGAGCTGGACATTGATCGAGTTGCCAATCGTCTCGCCCACCACCACAGCGAAGTCATACTTGTGGGGCAATTGGCGCATGCGCTGGAGATCGGAGCTCTTCAGCATTGGATTCCCGGGAAATTCGCAGAACAAGGCCAGGTGCCGTTCGCCAGCCTGCGGGCGGGCTTCTAGGTCGTTCAGCTCATCCAAGGAGCCATGCCCGTAGAACAGACATCCAGGCCCGAATTTCTGCAAGACTTTCAAGGTGTCGACATACGGGAAACCAAACGAGATACTCTCCCGTGGGCCTCGAACTGCGAGCAGCATCCGGTGCGTGTTGAAAATGGCATTCATGCCGCACGAATAGAGGTAAACGTCGTCGACGGACAGTCTGGACACTCCCCGTGGACTGTTTTGCGAGCTCGATCGTTTGACTGCAGCTGTAGATGTAAGACCTACTTCGCCTACCAGGTACCTGCTAGGCGTCGACGAATCACCATTCTGGCGTTGACGACAAATGAGAGATCTAAGTTTCGTCCAAATCGCTCCTCCAGGAAATGCGTGTCTTCCCGGCTCTCTGTTGCAGCCTTGTGCTTGTCATCGAGTCCAACATTTCTTGATCCAGTATTGACGTTCTTCTCTGCTTCGGGGGATGTTCGACGATGATCTATGGCGGAATCTCTTTGATACCTCCTTGAGCCTCTTTGTAATTCACGATCGGTTGCGACTATTTCTGTGTCTGCGATGCCGGCGCGGTGTTCGCAGATTCCATCACTAGATACCCTCCTCAGAAAGTGCGTGATAGAATTCTGCTTGTCGACTTCGGATCCTGTCTCCGAAATCGCCAGTACTGTTTCGCAATTGCGAACAGATCCTCCTGAAGTATAACGGCGGATATTGAGGATGACACCTTAGCAATGGCTATCGATTGAGTCGCCGAGCTCTTACTATCGAGACACAAATCAATTATCTTGACATTCCCAGCCAGTCCTTCCTTCGCCGCTTCTGCCTCGATAGCAATGATAATGAAGTCACGACATCTTTCAGCAGCCTTGCGGGCTGGGAACAACATCATGACAGTAGTTCTTGTTCCTTCTGAGCAGTATCTGGTCACGATGTCATCTGCAATTGCAGCAATGAGTTTGTGGATAGAGGATCATGGTCAGCCATTGAAGACTCCGTCCATCACGCGCTTGGCACCTTTCTCATAATCCACGTTATCCATCCATATTGAAAGGGACATGCTCACAGCATAAGCTGTAAGAGAAGAAATAAAGTCACCCGGGTCTATGGTTGACGACACTATTCAATAAAATAAGAATAAAGCTGATAGATTCCGGAGTCACATCGCAACTGAAGCAGCCAACCACTGTATATGTAGTTTCAAGCTTATCAAAGCTTTTCAGAATACAGACGTTCACTTTTTTAATGGATTATAAGAGCATAATCTGTCTGTCTTTCTGCACGTCTGTACGCAGATGAGAAAGTACAGGGTTATGTATTTGGAGGAACGAATGACTGTAGGCAATAAGCATGCATGTACCGGGCCCCTGAGTAATTCGTTATATCTATTCTCTCCACAACGCTCTCACTCTCACATTGTTACCTCAATTTTCCGCCTGCTGTTCGACCTGACAGGTCAATCAACGTGATACTCGCGAGTGAACGGGTTTTAGGCTGATTCGGTTTGTGTCTGTAGGCAAAGGCTCTCTTTTCTCCCCGGTTGTGCATGGTGGGATATGACTTGAAAGCATCAAGAGGCCGTCCGACGACTGACATTCGAGATTATCTCGCTTCCTTGGAACCATGACTTTACCGACAGTCGGGTTTAGACAGACTTAATCGTCATACCATTCAATATTTTTGGGTTATCATTGGGATCTTTGTTGCTTTATAGCCTACTGGGGGTGTTGCATAGGGGAACCCGCCTCAAGCCAGCGCTACCTTCTCAACATTGTTGTTCCCCAACCGCTGGATCAATTGACCTGAAACGAGACTCATACTTGCTTCTCTGCAGGTGATGCAGATAAGTGCCTTTTCGCGCCCCAGCACCCGGATGTGTAAGGATAGTTGTGTGTCGCCGTGGAACTCAAGACGGCGCGGCGCCCATAATGTCACCATTGCTGGGAACTTCGGCCAGCGCTCTGAAGATGAAAGTACCAATTTCTCCCTGCGCAGGGGCATTGACCATGCACCTGGGCTTCTCTATCAACTGCAGCGCGGGCTTTCAGATCTGAGGCACTAATGCACGCCCCTCGCAGTCCATGCGTATGGTGGGTTGATCAATACCAATCTGGAAATTGAGAGACAGCCGTCTATTTCCTCGAATGCAGATCATTGAGGGATCATCGGGATCAAAGAGCATGCGCCAGTGTTGATCTTCCGGCATTGACTAGAATGAGCGCTGATGTGGACAACGGGATCTGGTATCATGGCATGGCAAATAATTTAAAGTATACAAAAGTACTCCGCAAACCCCGTAGTGTCATGAGTACAGCAGGGCACTCGCTGCTCCACACTGGTGCTTCGCTTGTGAAGGCTCTGAATAAGCTTCAGGACCTGGTGGCAATGTCATGAGAAGATATACGAGTAGTGACCTATCATCGCAGACCGCGCGTCCTGTCCAAGTCTTGAAAGTTGATTTACTCCGTACACTGCTCTCAGTGACTGCATGGAACGAAGGTGGACAGTCAGAGGGAGATTGGTGTGGCGGTGATGTGCTTAGTCATGGGCGGTGGGCAATCCTTGATTCCGCTTCTAAATGAAGCTCTCTTGATTCTCCCTCCGGACAGCGTCTCTGACGTCGCCCAGTCATTGGCATTGAGTGCTATATCACACTTCTTATCGCGCTGAGCACCCATCAATAGTCTGAAGTGATCGTTTAGCTCAAGCCACACGGCTGAAGACGCAGACGCGTTTGCCAGGGATTTTTTGACCGGTCCAGCAGCAGAAGCATGCACCGCCACAGCCCCTATCTATCCGCTTGAGGCTTTCCCTTCCAACCCGCTCTCTAGCACTGGCCATGCGAGATGGAGTCCCAACAAGATCGTGGGTTCCAGATCATGGAGCATCCTGATATGAACAATCATGACTCGGATGGCTCCGGTTCCTCCGATGAGCTGCTGCAACAGCCCTACTCACTCCGGTCGGACTCCAGCTTCACGGAGAATTTCGACGGCCAGATCCCAACCCCCGCGTCGACCATCGCCAACTCTCCTACCCCATCCCTCCCCAGCGGTATCCCTCCATGGGTCACGGGCACACCATCACGCCCGCGGGGTGCGAGCGTTGGTGCCTCCGCTCTCGACAAAGCACAACCTGTAGACGGTCTGCCAGGTGACTTGAGGTCACAACGCCCGTCCGGCCCCGCTCGGACACCTTCCAACACCTACGCCCCTCAGCGCCGCCCGCCCCAATACATCAGCTTCCAGAATGACCGTCAGAGATCCTCGTCAACGAAGCGAACCCCCCGCAGGGACCCGAACGCCCAGTATCGAGCGCAGGAGAAGGCGTATGTCCAGCGCATCCGGGCCGACCCACAGGCATGGTACAACCATTTCGACGAAGCTCAGAATATGAGCCCGGGAATCGGTGACTCGGACCTGGAGGAACCCTCACCGTCGTCAGAAGTTCCATTCGAAGATGATGCCTACGACCCTGACATTCAACTTTTCCTCAACGACGATAACCTGCCGACGATCGATGAGCTGAAGAACCCAAGAAATCAGGAAAGGCTGGAGTGGCACTCCATGTTGTCTTCTGTCTTGAAGGGAGATGTCGTCAAGCAAGAGAAACAACGTCTTCTAGGGTCTACGGACTCCAAACGGTCCTCCGCCCAGAACAATGCGATATGGCTGGGTGTTAGGGCAAGAACGTGCGGGCGCAGTGTAGCTCTGCAGCGGAAGCTGATCGAAGAGGCCCGGAGTGGACTGGGACCTATCATCGAAGAAATCATCAAGTTTGAGATCAAGGGTGAGACGGAGATTGGGAAGCCTCCCATTCAACAGGTCGAGGACATTGTGGCACAGATCGAGAGATGTGAAAGCTTGTATTCTACTCACAAAGAGCTGGAAAGCGCCCACCCCCGCATTGCTTCTGATGAATTCCGATCCAGTCGTGATGCTGTTCTTGCCTGGCACAATACAACGATCTTGATCAACACTGAACTTGCCATTCTGCAAAAGTGGGTCGGCAACGACGAGCTTGACTTCAGCAAGCCAAGGACAAAGTCAATTAACAGTGATCTTACCGACGAATCCTCCTTCTTGGACCGGATCATGAAGGAAGATGGGCTGAGAACGCTCCAGGGGAGACAGAACATGCTCAACGGTGTGGGCGAAGTGATTCAGAAGGCGAAGAACACCTTGATTGAAAATGCCAGCTCGTTTGCCAAGCGTCATCTACCGCCATATATCGAAGAATTGCTTACCCTGATTAACTTCCCCTCACGTCTCATCCAGGAGATTATCCGCATGCGACTTTCCTATGCAAAGAACATGAAAGATCCTGCTCAGCAGTCCCCAATCTTGGTGGATCAGATGCTTTCACAGTTCCAGATTTTGATGAAAGTAGCGGTGGACATCAAGCAACGATATATGGATATCGCCAGACCTGAGCCCGGCTGGGACTTGCCTCCATGTATCGACGAGAATTTTGACTCGGTTGTCCTGGACGCCATGAAGTACTACTTCCGACTCCTCAATTGGAAGCTGAATGCAAACAAGAACACATTCAAGGAAGCGGAAATTCTGGAACAGGATTGGGAATTCTCTAATGAGGTCGGACGTCAACTTGATGGAGGTGACATTGAGGTTGCTGAGCAATACAGGTACGGGACCTCTCGGACTACGATGTGCATTTTTGCTAACTTATGATCAGTGCCTTGACTGCAAAGTCTCTTCAACGCTTGATGATTCATTTTGAACGGGAATTGACGATACGTCCGAATGAGGATCCCATCGACATGGATAAGCGGTATAAGAGCGTTCTCGATTCTACACGTATTCGCCAACGGAAGCTCTATCGTTTCTCCCGCTTCTTGCGCCAATTGTTTGAAAATGCAACGGAGTACAATTTGCCAGCTGACATTGCCTATGACTTCCTGGAAGCGCTCCTCGTATCGGACCATTTCATTATCAAGTCTAACTCTACCACGGGCCAGAAGAACGTCTATCTCTTTGCGCATCCTGCCTTGTGGGGTCGGCCCGCAGATCTACAAGCAATCATGGGCACGTCCTTCCGTGATGAAGATGCTTCGAAAGACTCCCCTCACGCGCCCTATATCTTGGTCATTCGTCCAGAGAAGCCATTGGCTTGGGCTGGCAAAGAGATGCAGCTCGAAACCATGGAACACCCCACAGACTTGCGATTAGGGAAATTGCGCCTCGTTGTCGAGGGCACCCAGCAGCGCCTGGCCAATGCTCGGGCTGAATTGGCGCATCTGACTGGAACGCATCTCGACATGGCCATTGAGCAACGGGCCAATCTCGGTCGCGTTAATGTGGAACTTAATAAGATCAAGAAGATTTCATTTAAGCTGTCCATGACAATTATGGATAGCGTTGCAATTATCCGAAATCAGCTGAGAGAGAAGGGAGTAGAGAATCATGACCTGGTACAAGCATGCTATGCTTTTGCCACGGAATTCGGAAAGCGTTCTTCGAATGTTGACCCTAACAGACGCGCTATGAATAGTGCGAGACTTGTGGATTTGTCTCTTGATTGGGTCTCCTTCGTTTGCGACGACTGTGATGCTGCTGATCGAAAGACTTTCAAGTGGGCTGTCTCTGCCCTTGAATTCGCCATGGCTATTACCTCCAGCAGACATCTACTTTCCATGGACGACGCGCAGTTTGCTCGTCTACGACAGAAAGTGGCGGGGTGTATGTCACTCCTCATATCTCACTTCGATATCATGGGCGCTCGGTCTTCTCGCGCAGCTCAGGCAGAGAAGCAGCGCTTGGAAGAGCGCGCCGGCTCTAGAAGAATGGCCGCAGGCCGAGTTTTGACGGATGAGGAAGCGACCAAGCTTGTGCGAGAACAGCGCCTGGCTCACTTGATCGAGATTGAAGATCGGCGAGTCGATGAGGATGCGAAGCGTCAAGCACTCGGAAGAGTCCTGGAGGGATCCAATGAGGCTGATAGATCTCTTACCGTGCTCTCGTCTTCGGCTACGAATGTCACTCTGCGCTGGCAGCAGGGTCAGTTCATTGGAGGCGGAACGTTCGGATCCGTCTATGCTGCAATCAACCTCGACAGCAATTACCTTATGGCTGTCAAGGAGATCCGCTTGCAGGATCCTCAGCTCATTCCTAAGATTGCACAACAGATCCGCGATGAGATGGGCGTGCTGGAAGTTCTTGATCATCCCAATATTGTCTCATACCACGGAATTGAAGTCCACCGTGACAAAGTGTACATCTTCATGGAGTACTGCTCTGGCGGGTCTCTTGCGAGCTTGCTCGAGCACGGCCGTGTTGAGGATGAGACGGTCATCATGGTCTACGCTCTCCAGCTTCTGGAGGGATTGGCGTACCTGCACCAGGCCGGCATCATCCACCGCGACATCAAGCCCGAGAATATCCTCCTTGACCACAATGGAATTATCAAGTACGTCGATTTCGGTGCCGCTAAGATTATCGCCCGCCAAGGAAGGACTGTCGCCCCCATGGACGCCTTTTCTGGCACTGGTCACAAGGACGCCATCGTACCCAAAGACTCTCAGATCCCCCAGAACAATTGGGGTAAGAACCAGAAGACTATGACCGGCACCCCGATGTACATGTCCCCCGAAGTGATCCGCGGCGACACCTCCAAGCTCATCCACCGCCAAGGCGCAGTTGACATCTGGTCTCTGGGCTGTGTGATCCTGGAGATGGCCACTGGCCGTCGACCCTGGTCGACCCTGGATAACGAGTGGGCCATTATGTACAACATCGCCCAAGGCAACCAACCACAGCTTCCGAGCCGCGACCAACTCAGCGACCTGGGTATCGACTTCCTCCGTCGTTGCTTCGAGTGTGATCCGCTCAAGCGATCCACCGCGGCCGAGCTCCTCCAGCACGAGTGGATCGTCTCCATCCGCCAGCAGGTCGTCCTTGATGCCCCCACGCCTGGCAGTGAGAACAGCGCCAGCAGTTCCACCTCGGGCAGCCGCCAAAACTCAACCTACGGCTAGTGCAGCCTGGTTTCCGTCCCCCCTCGACGCCTACCCAAGCTGTGTTGAATGTTTGCTTTCTGCCTGCCCTTCATGCATTCTCTTTCGAAAAAGCCGCATTTGCTCAGCCCCATCGCCATCATTGTTATCCCACGCAACACACTTCTTACCCCTACTACGCCTGTTGATTCCGCATCTGATACCCTGCATACATTCATTTCTAATCCACCAAATCACTACTGGTCTTGTGGTCTGGTTTGCTCTTTTTTCTTTTTATTTTGCCGTTGGCTTCTCTCCTCCCCATACGAGTTGTCGGCATATTATACGTACATATATTCTGGCCCTCTTTTTTTGGCTTTTGTCTGGTCATCTCGACATACCACTATGAAACGAGTTTGTCGACCTGCGATTTGTTGTTGTAATTCCTCTATGGGAGGGGCAATATGTGTGTGGCCCTCTTCTTCGGCAATCATGCTGAATCCTGGGATTGTTTTTGTGTCTCGTATTGGTTCTTTGTTCGTACCACGCCCAAGCATACGAAGGAGCGTTTTCTTTTTGGACTTTTTTTGGGGCCTCTTTCTTTTTTGTTAGTTATTCAGCAATATCTGCATTGAGAGAGAGAATACAAGTACAATATACTTCTACATTACCCAGATTGTTTACAGATGCTCCATTGATTACTCAATGCCCAAATTAGTAGAATTGGATTTATAGATGTTGAAACAATACATCCAGAATCAATGAATCTCTTATCATTATCTAGCTCCATTGAGTGGTAACTACTACTCGGTGCTGGCGAGGCGCTTGATAATGGTAAAGGTGAATCAACCTTGGGAATCACCGTGTCATCGCGTTTTCCATAACCGCGGACACTATTGTTCCTAACTAATGCTCTTCGATGTAGAAAATAAAAATAAAAAGCGGATTTCGTGACCGAGGAGACTGATAAGTGGGGTAAATGGAGAGACCCAAGCAAACGATGATAAAAGCATACCATAGAGAATGGAATGAGAGTACATGCCCGACTTTCGCTCTGCTCGTGATAAACTGTTCATGATAGCCCTATAGAATGAGAAGAAGAAACCAGACGAGTAAGCATGGGTGATGGAAAAAGAAAACAAACAAGTCATGACCCGTAAGTGTGGTGTGCTGGGAGATAAAACTTTGACAACCATCTGTACGCCGAGCGGAAGAATTGGAAAGGCAGAAGAGAAGACTGGAAGGACAAAAGCGTGTCTTCATCAAGGTGGCATGAAACCCCCATTGCGTTGGGGCCGATTGGCCGCTGGGATGGTAAAGCGGTCAAGAAACGACTCGAGAAGGGTGAAACGCTCCGCATTTCCAAGGTTCGAGACATCATATAGTAAACAGGAAGGTCTTTGCCGCCGAAAGGCGGGGTATGGGTGTGGAAAGGAAGAATAAAGAACAATTAAATGAAATAATGCCAGGGAAAGGGTTGATAGCCCGATTCAGGAATCATTCATGGCCCCGGGCCAAAGTTGCAGGAAAGGGGAATTTAACGGAATTCCATGGCTGGAGTACAGCCATGGTCTTCCACATGCTTGAGCTCCAATTGTTGATATCTGAAGTAAAGTGGCTCAGGTTAGCACTAAAGATGTAGGTACTCTTCTCGGAAGACTCACTTCTCGCTCTTCGCATGGAAGTATATGCCAGCAACAGTTCCCTCTACTTGATTGAAGCAAATGTAGTAGAACCCCTCAAAGCTTGCACCAGATATGGATCTAACGCGATGGTCGGGCACCAAGAAGTATTCTTTCCAGCGCATGAAAATGTGTTCACGTTGGGCGTAATTGCGATACGTGAAATCGGGTTTCCTTGCTTGCTTGGATAGCGGACGCCACGCAGGAAACCTGTTCCAATGCTGCATATCGGTCTTCTCTGTAGCGCCCCATGCTTCGTTCTTAGTCTTGAAGGTATGTTTCGTGCCGATAATTTCGCCCTCAAAGAACGTCGTGAGAGTGGGATGATCTTCCGTCAGACCTGCAGGTGTGGTTTACGTGAGTCATGGGCGGTATTAGACCCTTGTGTTGCGGTCCACGCACCTTGTATGCGAAGATATCCACATAGATAAGATTCTTGCATGTCAACATGCTTTATCTCGACATCGACATTGTAGACTTGCCGATCGGATTGCTGCGTGCCAGTAAATTTACTTCCCGGGCGCAAGAAAGAGGAAGTATAGTTAGGGAGGAGCTACCAGAGTCAGACCAAGCTCGCGACCATGCCATTTGTAGTCTAGAACATACCCGAATATTAGAGAACTCGTAGCTTAACAGCGAGGTGTTCGATGATGAAGTGACCGACGGAGGTTGGCTGGTCGAGCATGATGGCTCTGCAGCCGGACTCAACCTCCCCGCGGCAGGCTCATCTTCGGGTTTTGCCACATCTTTCATCGGGCTACCACCGGACGAAGACTCGGCGGTTGAGCCTGCGGTCGCATCTATCAGGGCATTCTGCGCCGTGTGGGCCGCAGAGATGAGCTGAGACAAAGAGCTTTCGGATTCATCCCGATCGGAAAGAGTGGAGGGTGCTCGAGACTCTCTCCAGGAAGGCAGCCTCTCGACCTCGGGTGGGCAAGTGGAACGAGCGGAGAGTTCCTCTAGGCCTGACGAAGCATTCACACTGGATGTAATGTCACTCGGGGTCGGCATTGGAGGCGAATTAAGAAATGAATGACATCGGATCCGAAGCAGGTGCACTTATAGCAAGCGTGAGGGAGTGCAAGGAAACGGAGGGGAGTTCAACAAGCAGGAAAAGCAAGCATGCAGTTCGTAACCAGGGCGTGGGATTCGGGAAGCCCGCAGGGTAGGAAAGGAGACTAGGATCAAAAGGGAATTATTCAAGGGAATCGGATAAAGAACCGAGCGAAGGTTGCAGGAGTAAGCTTGGGGTTATTGAGGGGAGTGGAAGTAGGAAAGGAGGAATGAATGAGGGAGGGGGGGGGCTCAAGAGGAGATGAATAGAAAGGAAGTGTAGTTCAATTGATTTGATTGATGAGTCCGGGGGGTTGCGCACCGCAGCCACTGCAGCAGCCAGCAGACATTGCCCAAAAAGGATAGGGCGGCTTTTTGTGATCATGCGAGCGCGGGGGAGGCGAACGGGGCAATCGGCGGCGCCTCGGGCGGTTAATCGGAGGGTTGCGCGCTGCTTTGATAAGGGAATAAAAAAAAGGGGGGAAGGGGCAGATGAAGATGTGATACGATGCGATATGATATGATATGATATGATATGATCTTCAGCTGCTTCCGCCCCAAGCCCTCTCCCTCGTTCCCTCACCCAGCAACATATTTCACATTTTGTTCTCTGATATCACATACTAAGTTGGGCATTGTTCTGGTAGTAAAAGCCGTGGCCAATTGTACATGAAGCACTTGCTACGTTGGCTCTACTGGCACTCCTGCATTGCGTCATTTCCCGCTTGCAGTTTCCGGACCTGGTCTTCGCCAGTTGCTACGCGCTACTACTAATTGGTGCTGCAATGAATGAAATCAGGTATATCCGCTATCATTTTGGGTGTCTTAAGCCAAATATCAAGTAACGCCTATGCCAATTTGTGTCCTTCTTCGTTCAATCATCGCGTGTGAATTCAAATAGGCTTGATCTGGACGAGGGACTCCTATTAGCCGAAATGCCTGGAGGCGCACGAGTAAGGCCCAACTCACCTTGAAGTGAAGCGAGATAAGAGAGAAGATGAGAGCCTTCAAGTCTTGCACCAGATAGTAGAAGACACGGAGACCTTCAGGATCGGCAGACTCGGTCACGTCCACCAAGGAGCCGATTTTCGCGGTCTGCGTCCAACAGTCAGGATGTATGAACCACGGTCAAGGATTGCAATACAAGAACCCACCTCGAAGGAGATATGTTCATTACCCAACCTAATTTCCAGTTCCTGACGTCCATCCTTGTTCTTCTGAGGCCATTTGGAGTCGTCCTCCCTGGGTCGTGTGAGTATACCCAGCTCAACCAATATCCGGCAGGGTAAGGTAAGGCTTACTTCATGATCTCACTCTCCTTGATGATGCGCTTGACCTCCTGGATCATTGCCGCACTGACACACACTATACGATTGTATCAGCTCTCGTAACCCAGTATCACCGCACGTTGTTGGGAACTCACTTTCTTTGCGGATGAGGGAGTCATTGCGGTAATTGGAGTTGTTGGCATATCGAACGGCGGCACTGCGGCCATCGCCAAGGGTGCGGAAATCAAATTCTAGTGATCGTTAACTCATACATTCGCCAGCTGCAACGCTGAGAGGATACCAACCTAGAAACTCATGTCCAAACCGCCCAGAGTGACCTGAGCTGCATGGGCTGTCAGCAGCTGAGGAAACCTGGGCTTCATACAGGCTGTCCTTACTAGTAGCGGAGATAGAAGGTCTCGCCTTGGCCTGACATATTGTGTGTATGGTTGACCTGCAACTTGGTGGCCGATCCAACCAGTCCGTCGAGAATGCTCCGGAGCAAGTGAAAATGATGGGCGCGTTCCTGGTGGGTGGAAGTGCCTGGTTTGTCGGGTTGGTCCAGGCGGGCTTAGTCATTCACACACTCCGGACAGCTTGCTCCGCCGCGCAAATGGCCAGGTTGAGCCTCGAATGTCCGCACCCCCTCCGACTGTCAACATCTTGCACTGATGAACGCTAGGCAGGTGAGGGGAGCCCAGCTATACTAATTCATTTCTTTCTGTCAGCCCCGAATTATCAATTGGGGAGAGTTGACCTGGTGCGCAGCGCTGCCATCCCCTGAACCACCAACCCCAAACAACCACCTGTACTGACCACGCCTAAGCTCTCCTCCTCCCTCCTGACTTTCTCCTGTTACGGCCTTTCGCTTTCACCCACACAATCACGATGGCCTCCTTCTTGGAAAATGCATACAGTCTGGTCCATTTGGACAACACTGCAGATCAGCCCTCGTTGCAGGAGCTGAAGCTGCAGTTGGAGAAGGGTACCGATGAGACGAAGATGGACACTATGAGGCGGATCATCACGATCATGCTCAATGGAGATCCCATGCCACAGCTGCTCATGCACATCATTCGCTTCGTCATGCCCTCCCGGAGCAAGTCCCTCAAGAAACTGCTTTACTTTTACTACGAAATCTGCCCGAAGCTCGACGCCAATGGCAAACTCAAGCAAGAGATGATCTTGGTCTGGTAAGGAAATGCGTACTTCTCTCGCCGTGGTCTAGACTTCCAGTTCTTGTCTCTAATGGTTGCTTTGTTCTACAGCAACGGCATTCGCAATGATCTCCAGCACCCCAACGAGTACATCCGAGGCAATACACTTCGTTTCTTGTGCAAACTCCGCGAGCCGGAGCTCATCGAACCCCTCCTCTCATCCGCACGCTCCTGCTTGGAGCACCGCCACGCATACGTGAGAAAGAACGCTGTTTGGGCTGTCGCCTCGATCTTCCAGCACTCCGAATCCCTGATCCCGGACGCGCCAGAACTCATTCAGACTTTCCTCGAGACCGAGACCGACGGCACCTGCAAGCGCAATGCGTTCGCGGCCCTTATGTCGATCAGCCATCAGAAGGCATTGGAGTACCTCTCGTCCACTTTCGACAGCATTCCCAATACTGATGAGTTGCTACAATTGGCGGAGCTTGAGTTCATTCGTAAAGATGCTGTGCAGAACTCTCAGAACAAGGTTGGTCGCAGAACATCAATGGTTGCGCAGGCTACTAACGGGTGCTTATAGGCGAGATATCTGCGTTTGATCTTTGACCTTCTGGATGCCTCGACCAGCACTGTCATCTATGAAGCTGCGACCTCTCTGACGGCACTCACCAGCAACCCGGTCGCCGTGAAGGCTGCGGCAGGCAAGCTGATTGAACTCTGCATCAAGGAGGCCGACAACAACGTCAAGCTCATTGTTCTTGACCGTGTTGATCAGCTGCGCATTCGCAACGAGGGTGTTCTGGATGACCTCACCATGGAAATCCTCCGTGTCCTCTCCAGTCCCGACATCGACGTTCGCCGTAAGGCACTCGGCATCGCTCTGGAGATGGTGTCAAGCAAGAATGTTGAGGAGATCGTTATGCTGCTAAAGAAGGAGCTCGCGAAGACTGTTGATGAACAATATGAGAAGGTAAGCTTATCGTCCTGTTTTGACAAATACGAAGCTAACAGCATGTGCAGAACAGTGAATACCGCCAGCTGCTGATCCAGTCGATACACAACTGCGCCATTCGTTTCTCGGAGATCGCTGCAAGCGTTGTCGACCTTCTGATGGACTTCATCGCCGACTTCAACAACAACTCGGCCGTCGACGTAATCTCTTTCGTGAAGGAGGTTGTAGAGAAGTTCCCCGCCCTCAGACACTCCATCGTTGACCGGTTGGTCTCGACCTTGAGCGAAGTTCGTGCGGGCAAGGTCTACCGGGGCGTTCTATGGGTTGTTGGTGAATACTCTCTGGAGGAACGCGATATTCGCGAGGCGTGGAAGCGTATCAGAGCAAGTCTCGGAGAAATTCCCATTCTCGCCTCGGAACAACGTCTCCTTGACGAGGTACCGGAAGACGCTACTTTCAAGGATCAGCCCAATGGTCACAGCAAGCCGGCTGCTCCGACCGGATCCCGCAAGGTGCTGGCTGACGGCACGTATGCCACGGAGAGTGCTCTCACTAGCCAGTCGGCTGCTGCTGCCCGCCTTGAAGCTGTCAAGGCCGCACAGAAGCCTCCTCTTCGTCAATTAATCCTAGACGGTGACTACTATCTGGCCACTGTCCTTTCTTCCACTCTCACCAAGTTGGTTATGCGTCACTCGGAGGTCTCCCAGGACGCCGCCCGTACTAATGCTCTGCGGGCAGAAGCCATGCTCATCATGATCTCCATTATCCGCGTGGGTCAGTCTCACTTCGTCAAGGCACCTATTGATGAAGACTCAGTAGATCGCATCATGTGCTGTGTGCGCTCACTTGCCGAGTTCTCTGAGAAGAAGGAGCTGGAGACCACCTTCTTGGAAGACACCCGGAAAGCGTTCCGCGCCATGGTCCAGGTTGAGGATAAGAAGAGAGCCGCCAAGGAGGCTGTTGAGAAGGCCAAGACTGCTGTGCAAGTAGATGACGCTATTCCGATCCGGCAGTTCACGAAAAAGGCAGCTCTTGAAGGCGCGGAGGAAATCGAACTGGATCTCGCCAAGGCCACTGGCGGTGACTCGACCGTGGAGACTGTCTCCTCGAAGTTGAGCCGGGTCGTCCAGCTGACCGGCTTCTCGGATGCCGTCTACGCTGAGGCTTACGTTACAGTTCATCAGTTCGACATTGTTCTGGATGTGCTGTTGGTTAACCAGACCGTCGAGACCCTGCAGAACCTTAGCGTCGAATTTGCAACCCTGGGCGACCTCAAGGTTGTCGAGCGACCTACTACACACAACCTCGGACCCCGCGACTTCTTGAACGTGCAGGCTACAGTCAAGGTGTCGTCAACGGATACTGGTGTGATTTTCGGCAACATTGTCTACGACGGAGCTAGCTCAACGGAAACCCACGTGGTAATCTTGAACGACATCCATGCAGACATCATGGACTACATCCAACCCGCGCACTGCACTGAGACTCAGTTCCGTACTATGTGGACAGAGTTCGAGTGGGAGAACAAGGTAAACATTAACTCCAAGGCCAAGAGCCTTCGAGAGTTCCTCAAGCAGCTCATGGAGAGCACCAACATGGCTTGCTTGACTCCCGAGGCCTCCCTCAAGGGCGACTGTCGGTTCCTGAGCGCCAACCTATATGCCCGGAGCGTATTTGGTAAGTGTCGACCCTCTCCACCCATACGATTTGTGACCCTGTTGCTGACCGTGGATGTACTACAGGCGAGGACGCTCTGGCGAACCTGAGCATTGAGAAGGAGGGTGATGATGGACCGATCACCGGTTTTGTGCGGATAAGAAGTCGTTCTCAGGGACTGGCTTTGAGCCTGGGGTCGCTGAAGGGCCTCAAGGCATCTGCGGCATGAATCAAGTGTTGCCTTTGACTCGTATTTGAATAGCCATTACCCTGTTGTTGCTGGACCCACCGATTTATCTGAACTTATGCACCTATTCACTCTTCTGTGTTCTTCTAATGGACGAATTTTTGTTGATTATTATGCCTCTTCCTGTTTTATACCGGATGAGAAAAGACTTTATTACTCAATGAAAGATTTCTTAGAATTCCAACCAACCCAGGATCGGTTCATTGTTGTCGTACTGTAGGCTGTTCGTTCCAGTTCTGGGCCAAAAGTATGCGGGATGGCGAGCTGAATCCAATTGGTCCGATGGTGCAGCAGTGGAGTGTTTCCAAAGAGGCGCTGGTTTGGTTCCGCAAATGACAGGAGATATCCATTCCACAAAATTGGGGAGATTCTGGAATCGGATCTGGGGATCGACTAGAAATCGAATGGTACGTGTTCGTACTCAAATAGAACAGAGGGAGCGAGAGAGGGAGCGAAAGAGAGAGACGCAGAGGCGAAACCGACCAAGTGGAGAGAGGGTCCGGTGGAGGGACCGTTCGAGGGACCGTTCGTTCCTGAGCCTTGCTCGATAAAGACCGGGCATAATCTCCGTTCCGCTTTGGTTTGGTTTGGTTTGGTTACTTCTCTCTTTCTCTTTCCCATTTTCCACCTTAAACCCTTCATGTCGCTTTCCTCCTCACCTAAGACTACTACTACTTATCTATTGCCCGCTCTGCTCTTATTCTTAGATTATTCTTATCCTGTTTTTGGGTATTGTTTGTTCCCATATCCTTACTTTGCCTTTTGTTCATTGGCAGTTCTTCCGAATCTCCTCCGTCTGTGTCGCCCTCTCTCGGCTTTCCTGCCGGGCTTTATCATGGCTACCACGACCGCCGATAGCAATTCGCGGCCCTCCTTCAACACCGCGGATGTCTCGGATCAGCTCCTACAGCACGATGCCACCCTGGCAGTAGGCGACTCGATCACCCTAACACTGGGAAGCGATTCTTTGCTTGTTGTCGGTAGGTCTAGATGCTCAATGGCTGGTTTGAGATATTTTGATTCCATCGTTCTTGATAACTAACCACAACCTCGGGTGCGCGCAGACGAACGCTCCGGCCGCAAATCCGAGCGCGGATGCTGTACAGTGCGGATTCGGAAGGATGCAGGTAACTCCAACTCACAAAACCCACGACTGTAGTAGAAGCCCAGCAACCCTGGCCTGACAGATTTCCCACGGTTCTAGCTACCAGAATTTCCCACACTATTTCTTTGTACAATGTCTTGGACGCCGATCTATCGCCGGCCGGTTTGACGATCACCTATGCGGAGCCGAAGCACAAAGACGAAGTCTCCGTGGCCGCCCTTCAATACTCGATCCGCGAGGAGGAGAAGAGCGCCGCCGAAACCTGGATGAAGAAGTTACTCGATGCCGCCTACGGCTCCGCCCAGCGTAATAAGAGACTCAAAGTCCTGATCAATCCTTTCGGTGGCCAGGGTCACGCTGCCAAGCTGTATTCGACGTATGCAGCGCCCATCCTTGCTTCGGCACGCTGTCAGATTGACGTGCAGGAGACCACGCACCGCGGTCACGCAACGGAGATTGTGCAACAACTCGACATCAACGCGTACGATGCGATTGTATGCTGCTCCGGCGATGGGTTGCCGTATGAGGTCTTCAACGGATTGGCGCAGAAGCCCAATGCACGGGAAGCGCTCGCCAAGGTGGCCGTAGCCCTGCTCCCTGGTGGATCGGGCAACGCCATGACGTGGAATCTGTGCGGAACCGGCAGTATCTCGGTGGCAGCTCTGGCGATCGTGAAGGGCTTGCGGACACCGCTGGATCTGGTGTCCATCACGCAGGGGAACACCCGCACGCTGTCGTTTCTGTCTCAGTCCTTCGGAATTATCGCTGAATCTGATCTGGGGACCGACGATATCCGTTGGATGGGGGCTCATCGTTTCACATATGGGTTTCTCAAGCGGCTCATGCACATGACAGTCTATCCATGCGACCTCGCGATCAAGGTGGTCATGGACGATAAGCAGGCGATCAAGAACCATTACAACACCTATGCGCAAAGCCAGCCCGCTGGACGCCCTGCCGAGCCCACTGCAGACCAGTCGGGTGGCTTGCCTGAGCTCGTCTACGGGACTGTACAGGATGAGTTGCCCAAGGATTGGGAGGTAATTCCGGCTGAGACTCTGGGCAACTTTTATGCGGGCAACATGGCCATTATGTCGAAAGATACCAACTTCTTCCCTGCATCGGTGCCCAATGACGGGCTTATGGACATTGTCACCATCGATGGAACCGTCAGTCGGCTGAGATCTCTCAAAATGATGACAGAGATCCCCGAGGGAGGTTTCTTCGATATGCCCGAAGTCAACATCCGAAAGGCGTTAGCATACCGACTTGTCCCTCGGGAGAAGGAGGGATACATCAGTGTGGATGGGGAGAGCATTCCTTTTGAGGCCTTCCAGGGGGAGATTCACAAGGGTCTCGGTACTGTGCTGTCGAAGTCCGGACACTTGTACGAGGCAGAGGGACCCAGGCCTTAAGGTGCCGAACCGGTCGCTGGAATACCTTTTTTGCTTCAGTTTTGTTTTCCAGTTTTTGCACTCCGATGATACCCTGGACTTTTGAGGAAAGCACTGGCTTGCTTTCTGTTTCGGGTTGGATCAACCTGTCCTGACAAGATACATACATAGTGTACACTACCTAGAGAAGAGAGAAGAACGGGTAGCTGATAGAATCTGTATAGATATTGTTATAAATTATTCAATGTTCAACCTCCGCATCTGCCGGATCGGAGCATCAAACAAGGATGACTTCCCAAAAAGAAAAATAGCATATACAAGTACAGTACATGAACCAAACTCCGAGTCAACCCTTTTCGCAAAGAAACTTTTGTTGTTGTATGTGTTCGTTCTCTCATCTAATCATCCCCGAACCCACCCCATTCCGCATCCTCATCCTCCTCTTCATCCTCCTCTTCATCCTCCTCATCATCATCATCACTATCACTCTCGACCTTCCGCTCCTTCCACCCCCATTCAACCAACCGATCATCCTCCAACGCCTCCGCCGCCCGCACCCGCACCGGCTTGTACGGACTCTCCTTGCTCAACCTCTCGAGCGGCCGCAACAACAACTCCGGCGGCACCTGCAGACCCTTAGGTTTTCTGATCGTCGTTCCCTCCTCCCCCGCCGTCGTAACCTCCTCAAACTCCAGCACCTTCTCCAACTCATCCACCCAGATATCCATCACATGGTACCGCAACCCGTCCGGCCCATGCGGCATGGGGATGAAATCCTCCGCCTCGTTGGCCGGGGGCTGATCCGGGTCGAAATTGAGTGGGCAGAGCGGCCCCTCCTCCAAGATGGCGAGGTAGGACTCCAGCGCGGCCAAATCCACCTCCCCGTCTTGTTGCTGTTCCTCTTCTTCTTGTGGTTGCTGTTGCTGCTGCTGCTGTTGGCCCTTGCCCTTCCGCTTCTTACCCCCCTTTTTGTTGCTGCTGTTGGTGCTTTCCTCCTCCCGCTTGCGCTTCTTCCCGTCCGCGGTGGCATCGTTCCCGGAGGGTTGGGTGCTGGTGCCATTCCCCTTCAGAAACACCTCAAACGCCACCCCGACGTAACACCGGATCAGGAACAGGTACTTGTCCAGCCGGAGGCGGTCGATCGAGTGGAAGTCCCGCCCGATGGTCAGCCAGAAGGCGCGCAGGAACTTGTGGAGCGTGGGGCGCGGCAGCGTCGGCACGAGGTTGTAGGACAGCGTCCGCGCCAGGGCTTGTTGCGTGAGCGGGCGGTCGGAGTGGTAGAAGCCTTTCGTTCATTAGTTTGGATTTTCATTTCTTGGGGGGGAGGTTTGTGGGGGCCAAGGGGGCAGGGGGGCAGGGTGTTGTAGGTTTTGGGGAGAGGGGCAAGGCTGCGCACAGAAGAAAAGTCCCTTCCAGAGTTTGAGGAGGTCGAGGTTAGAGAGGTCGGTTTTGGCGCGCAGGAACAGCGTGAGGGAGTTCGTGGCTTTGTCGCGGAGTTTTTTGTCTACCGGAATATTCATTAGTATTGGTTTTGTTGGAGGGGGAGATTGGAGGCGTGAGGGCGTACCGCTGGATGCGAGCTCCTTTATGAAAGGAGTTTTGCCGACGTCCGTCATGGTGGGAGGTTTCCCCGGGGACAATGCGCGATTGCAGTGGGGGTGTGGGTGGATTTGAGGGGAGAGTCTGCTGGGAGTAGGCCACTGGTGACGATCTTATTGTAGGATGACTGGAAAAGCTGGTGGGTTGCGTGGACAAGGATTGGAGTATTGGTCGCGATACGGCGCGGACTTTGAAGCCATACACTTTTTTTTCTTTGGGAGATTGTGTCGGTGTTTGCAGTGTTTGATCGTGAGGGGCTGTTGATTGGTGGGCGGGAAGGTGCTGGGGCTGTGGGGCGCGTGTGGGGCTTTTTAGTTTGAGGAATGGACTGCACTGCACTGAGTGGTGTAGCCCACCATGTAAGTATCATAGCTCATAACTTCTAAGTGTCTAGTATATACTCATATCTCACAGGTATATTTATATCGAACCGGAGATAGCCTAAGCAGTCAGACCTCTTCAGAAGGTGTACTCTGCCCTGACTCGGGCTTGATCTGACGGATCTCGAATCCACCTTCATCCTTATCCTCGCCCTTCTGCGGCCAGAGGATCTGCCGCGTCACGATCGCCCGAACCATCATGTAGCACACAAACAGCCACATCAGAATCAGAGGCGGCACCATCACACATCCGATGATGTTGATCGCCTTGCAGGAGAAAGCCTTCCCGATCGCAAAGGTCGCCGTGATCAATGCTGTGTTCGGGAAAACGAACGAGAACCACGCCATCGAGAAGACCATCTTTCCCGGCCCGATCGCCGACCAGTGCGCGAAGCTCGCGATGAAGAAGAAGAAAAGCGCTAGCCTAGAAAAGGGAAACGTTGGCTGGTGCAAAAGACAGGGATAAGGTATGGTATGCACTTACCCCCAGAGCCATAAACACGAGAAATCCGCGACCACCTTCACAATGTCCGCTGCTAGAGGCCCGTTGCCCATGAAATCGCTGGGAAAGCTTCGTTTCGCGTGAGACGCCATGTTGACGATGCCCGACACGGTGAAGCCACTGGGACCCACGGATACAAACATTCCGGGGCGGACGTTCTCCCGAGGAAGCTTTTGGGACATGAGCCGATAGATGAAGGCGGAGTAGACCATCAGTGAGACAAGGAACCCCACGCCTTGAATGGTGGTGCCCCCAATGATAATGCGGAGAGCGCGAGAGGGTTCGAGGGTCGAGCTTAGGACTCCCGCGTGGGGGCCGATGATTAGCATAGGATATGCGGGGAAGATCCAGATTGGTGTCATCTGAGCGATCGTGAACGTCTGCGTTGACCACCTGCGCGAGAGAACATTAACTTTCCAGCCCAAGGAAAGGACGCCTGGGGTGCATTTACAGGATTAGATATATGGCTGCAGAAGAGATGACGGCTAGGGCGGCGTCAATCCAGAAGAGAATTCCCACCGCGTACGTGAGCCACGGACCGGTATGGTCGGGTCCATATTGCGAGATGTTGATCAGGATCGTGCCAAAGGAAACCAACGATGCAGGAACAAACAGAGACTCCGTCGGATGCAAGAACGATGCTTTGAACGTGTAAGGGTATAAGTAAAAGCGCGTAAGCAGCAGACACCAGATTATAACGTAGAAAACCAAGTTGAGAAGGAAGAATATGATGCCAATCGTCTCCAGGCCGCGAAATCTATAGGGAACTTGGACGAGATTAATTGACGAAGCGAATGTCCAGCGTGAGAATATTTGACTTACTAAAGTACAGAACGTTGGCAATCCCTCCCGTGGCCATGGTCAATGTGAAATAGGCCCATGTGAAGTGACGAAGCCGGCCTTTCCATCCGATTTTCGCCGTAGCCCAGTCCACTTCCCGTCGCCGGCGTTTCTCTTTGTTGCCGTGCGCTTCAGCCCGTTGATACGAAGGTTGGTTCAGCGCCTCAAGAGCCGAAGTATGCGCCTCGCGCACTTGGCCCCCTCTAGATGGGAATGGAAACGCCCCGAGATCATTCTGTGTGTCTTCGATCGTCGGTGTGCGATATCCTTCCTCCCCGCGATTGCGCGTGTGTCGGGGAGATAAAAGCTCGCTTGCCATTGCTGAGATCCCAACCTTTGCATTAGTTGTCTAGGGACAATTGACATTCCACAGAATCAATCAGAAGAGAAGATGGTATCTTTCCTGGAAGCAGAGTTCGAAGTTTCAGGGAGCGATGAAGTCAGAATAGCCAGAGTGGAGACTCGTCCTGCCTTGGCTATAGGCTATACCTGCTGATACCAGTGAGGACCAAAGTCTACCGAGCACAAGAAATTGGTAAAAGAACTTGGGAAGCCGAATCATGCCTCCAGAGCGGCAGTAAGAGATGATAGTCGATCGCCTATTATACCGGATCTGTTGTGGCTGGTGCTTGCAAGCGTGCTGTTCAGGTGTTGGCACCAATCGTTTGCAAATGACGATCTAGGCCGGTCGATAAGTGGAGGAGCGAGCGAGCGTGCGGTAGGACACGCGATTCAAGCTTCTTCCCCTGGAGAAGTAGCGACATTCAAGAGTAAAAACTACTCTTGTTGAGCCAGATTGTTGCTACGTAGGAATAGTTCAGGTTGAGGATTTTGTCTCCATCTCGGTTACCGGCACACGCAGCCTCATGGCGGCGGGGAAGCGGGAAAAAGGTCAAGGCACCCAAGCTTGCGGATCAATTGCAGGCGCTGCGTCATTGCCAAGAGACGGACGGATTCAGTTGCCCGCCTGTCTTTGATATGCGGAGGCGGAGGTGGAGGTGCGTGTTGCTTTGGCACATATTGAGTACAGTTTCACTTGCTATCAGTATTCCTCTCCCAAGTCAATGGTGAGATGAAGATTGGTGCGCGTCTTCCAGTTTACTTTCCCCAAGGGTCAAGTTCTTTGTTAGTCCCATGGATTGTGCTGTCAGGCTATTGGCTTCATTAGGTCTTGCTGGGCGAATGGCGTTTTGCGAAAAATGGCTTGAGGCACTTTTCGATGTAGGACCTATGATAGCCCTGTGATTCTCCAGTGACAGCAAGCAGGAAGTGGGTAGCGACCTAAAGATGTAAATATGTGCATGATTGCGTTGCTGCATGGGTGCATGCATCATTTGTTATGGATTTCTTTATGTGCATGGTTACATAATCGGATGCTTTGCGGAACATCCGCTTACTTGACACTCCACTCCGTTCCGACCTGGCACATACTTCACAGCTTAAAAGATATCGTATGAGTATCCATGATAACCTTTCGTCAAGCTACTATGGCCCATAATGCTTTTCAAATGTGTATTCTACAAGGCTCCAGTTCTTTAAATACAACAGAATTGTATCATTTTGTCGCCACGGTCCTAGACTCAAAGCCTGAAATTGCCAAGCATACACGAGACCGCTCATTTGAGCTCAGGAACGAGGAGTATTATACTTGTGTCCCCTGTGAATCATAATAGGTACAAGGACTTTAAGCTCCGCTTAAAGCCGTCTGGGGAGCATAGCGGATGATATGGTTGGGTAGCAACGACAGGGTCCATGAATAAGTATCTGCAAGCTTAGACGGATCTTCCGCATCCGGATCTTTCTGACGCAGTTTCCCTCCAAACATAGGACACAGAGCGGCTCGGCTCAAGAGCTGATTTCCGATGATTACCTTCAAAAAGAGAGTCCAAGTGCCAGGTGCTCTGTGGATGCTACCTAATTCGCTCCTCGTTACGACAATTGGCCCATTGTTACACATGGTTTATCATGACATCACCACTAGGAGCACTCGAAGCGAAGAGGTTTAATCAGTCTCCCGACAGGGGATGGAAGGAGATTTTACCCTACCATGTACTGGCGCAAAATAAGTACCCCTGCTATTCATGGACAATCCCTGTTGCTCTGGTGGGGCACTTCTCTCGGCGAGCGAAGCAGTTCATATACCATCCCACCCTCTGACCTCTTTCCTCACTGACAATATTCCCTTATATGCGCGCCTTCATCGTTCTACCTCCTCTCTCTCATCATCAGCGTTGACCCACCGGTCTCTGATTGAACGCTAAGCACCTCAGGCCATGGCTAGCAACAAAGAGACCAGTGACATCTCTCCCACCTCTTCTGCGGGAAACGGTCAGGATGACGAGATTACTCCCCTCAGATCGCCCAAGCTGGAGCGTGAGAATAGCACATTCTTCGAGCAAATGGACCCCGACCGCAAAGCCGAGTTGACTCGCATAGCCTCCAACTATCAGTCCACCTTTTCCCGACGTCAAACTACCGACTCAGGCGTTGGCGGGGCGAGCATTGAACGCAAGGATACTGTTGAGAACTTGGAAATGGGAGACCCTGTTCTAGATCCAACGAGTGGTCAGTTCGACCACAACAAATGGGTCCGGAAGGTGCTCAGGCTGTTGGATAAAGAGGGCATTCCCCGTCCTCCCTCCACTGGTATAGTCTTCCAGAATCTGAATGTCTCTGGCTCCGGATCAGCTCTGCAGTATCAGAGCAGCGTACCCTCCTTGCTGATGGCCCCATTCAGGCCACAGGAATACCTGGGCTTTCTACGTCACTCACCCGAGAAACACATCTTACGTGACTTCGACGGGCTGTTGAAAAGTGGTGAGCTGCTGATAGTCTTGGGCCGTCCCGGGAGTGGATGTTCGACATTTCTGAAGTCGTTGTGTGGAGAACTACACGGATTAAAGCTTCGTAAGAGCTCCGAGATTCAATACAACTGCATTTCGATGGAAAAAATGCACAAGGAGTTCAAGGGCGAGGTTCTTTACAATCAAGAGGTGGACAAGCACTTCCCTCACCTCACAGTCGGGCAAACACTGGAATTTGCTGCTGCTGCAAGAGCTCCTGAAGTACGGTTGCGCGATATCACTCGTCAGCGATACGCCAAGTATGTTACTCAAGTGGCGATGACTATATTTGGTCTGACGCACACGTACAACACGAAGGGTATGCCTTCTCATCAAAGGGCCCTTAAGCCTCGTGGATTGCTAACACAAAGTCTAGTTGGCGATGACTACATCAGAGGAGTCTCGGGTGGAGAAAGAAAACGTGTCAGGTAGGTTCCCCTCCACGGGCCTTTCTTTTCCGTGTTATACTGACATGCTCTTAGCATTGCTGAAATGGCACGTAAGTGAATTATGCTTACCCAGTGTATCCGCATGTATTGACTTCCCATAGTCTCGGGAGCCCCTGTCGGCGCCTGGGACAACAGCACTCGAGGATTGGACTCGGCGAGTGCGCTTGAATTTGTGAAGGCGCTGCGAGTCAGTTCTAACCTGGTTGGTACCTGTCATGCAGTTGCCATCTACCAGGCATCTCAAGCGATCTACGATGTCTTTGACAAAGCCATTGTTCTATATGAAGGCCGGGAAATCTACTTCGGACCTTGCAGCGAAGCTAGAGACTACTTTCTCAATATGGGCTGGGACTGTCCTCCACGCCAAACAACCGGTGATTTCTTGACATCAGTGACCAATCCTCAGGAGCGCAAAGCGCGAGAAGGGATGGAAAGCAAGGTCCCTCGGACTCCAGATGAGTTTGAAGCCTATTGGAAGAAAAGCCCTCAGTATGCCAAGCTACAGGAGGATATTTATCAGCATATAAAAGAATATCCGCTGGGGGGACAGTCGGAGCAGATGTTCCATGAGATGAAGCATGTCAGACAGGCAAAACATGTGCGGCCGAAGAGCCCTTATGTTATCTCGATACCAATGCAGGTCAAGCTCTGCACAATCAGAGCTTACCAGAGGTGTGTTCTCGTTTCCCCTGGAACTATCTGTCTACTAACTGTTATAGAATCTGGAATGATAAACCCTCGACCTTGACAAATGTCATTGGTCGAATCGCAATGTCCTTGATCATCGGCTCGATGTATTATGGGTGCGTCCATCAGCCCTTCTAGCTTCCGTATTCACTGACGCGTCCAGGACACCAAATGCTACTCAAGGCTTCCAGAGCAAGGGGGCTGCTCTTTTCTTTGCAGTTCTGTAAGTTTGCCTGCGCCAGAGCGCAATCCTTCATTCGTCATCGACCACTTTACTAATTCTGCTTAGTATGAATGCCCTGATCAGCATCACGGAGATCAACTCACTTTACGATCAACGTCCTATTATTGAGAAGCAAGCCTCTTATGCCTTTGTCCATCCATTCGCTGAAGCATTCGGTGGTATTGTTTCGGATATCCCTGTCAAATTCGTCTCCGCTGTCGTATTCAATATCATTTTTTATTTCCTGGCTGGCCTCGTGAGTGAACCGCCTTGCTAATCTTGCATAAGGTAAGATTTTACTAACGAGCCACAGCGATATGCGGCATCGCAATTCTTCATTTTCTTCCTCTTCACGTTTCTGAGCACACTCGCGATGTCCGGCATCTTCCGCACCCTTGCAGCAGCAACTAAAACTCTGGCCCAGGCCATGGCTATGGCCGGTGTCATGGTCTTGGCCATTGTTATTTATACTGGATTCGTGATCCCTACGCCGCAAATGTCAGACATTCCGTGGTTTAGCTGGATCCGATGGATAAACCCGGTATACTACACATTTGAGGCTCTCATAGCCAACGAGTTCCACGGTAGACGATTCACGTGCTCAGCATTTGTGCCAGCTTACCCCAACTTAAGTGGGGACTCGTTCATTTGTTCTGTCCGGGGCGCTGTCGCAGGAGAGCGGACTGTGTCTGGAGATGCCTATATCGAAACCCAGTACAGGTATACTTACGCACATGAATGGAGAAACCTGGGTATTTTGATCGGCTTCTGGATCTTCTTTACCGCCCTGTACCTGGTGGCAACTGAGCTCAACTCTGCTACTTCGTCAAAGGCCGAATTTCTCGTATTCCGTCGAGGCCACGTGCCCCCACATATGCGCAACCTGGACAAAAGGTCACAAGCCGAAGAAGGCACCACAGATGCCGCCTTAGCTCAGAGGCCTACTGAGAATGAGAAAGATGCATCTGCCATTCCCGAGCAGCATAGCATATTCACATGGCGGAATGTCTGCTATGACATACCCGTCAAGGGAGGCGAGCGGCGCCTTCTCGACCATGTTTCAGGTTGGGTCAAGCCAGGAACTCTCACGGCCTTGATGGGAGTCTCAGGCGCCGGC